CGCGCAGACGCCCACACGCCCACACGCCCACACGCCCACACGCCCACACGCACACGCGCAGACACACAGGCGCACAGACACACAGACAGACACACACACACACATGTATTCGAGAACAGTGTGTTCTAAACGAGTTCCTTTCGGACGCTACGTGCCCTGAACACCTGGTCTTTTCGAAATTCACCTGAGAATGGCGAACAAAAACAAAAAACCCATGGTGGCAGCAAATCTGCAAAGTTTCTTGATTTCGCCTCTCCAAGGACTTGAGCCCCCATGGTTAACCTCAGGCCGAAAAAACGCGGCTTCCTGAGGCCACGCCAGGTCGGCCTTGGATTCCTTTCAAGCCTGGAGCGCGGGGAGGAACCAGCCCGGAAGCTGGGCCCAAGGACTGAGATTAGTTCGAAGGCCGCGGTTTTTCTGTCAATTGCGTTCCTGTCAATTTGGGGGCCAATCCAACTTTGTAGCTTTCTTTTGGGGTGTAAAGATCTCAAGCCAACATTGGTGGATGTTTTGGTAGGGTGAGGTGAGTATGCGCGCCCACTTGCTAGAAGCGTCCTTCGCTCTTGACAAACATGAGACTTTCAAAGGTCATAAGTGCACTTGCTATTTTGGTTGGTCTGAGGATACCATTCCGAACTGACAAAATCCGTAGCCACAATTGGGAGGCCCTTCCAGCCAAAGATCGGCGCGGCCTTCTGCGCTTTTGGTTTGTTTGCTATTCTTTGGGTGGACTCCTTGAGTACCGGATTTGATGACTCAGCTTGTGGCGTTCGGGCACCCAGTTTTAAAACCGCTTAAGTGCCAGTTGACCCTTGGGTGCCTGGCTGTCGTGATTGGATGAACATCGTTGGCGCTGCTTTCAGTTCTACTCATTTGCCAGCGCCGGCTGTGTTTCCCGAAGGAACTTATGTTTCGGTAGTCAGCAGCCAGAACCTGGCTTTCAGGACGAAATGGTTTAAGCCGTGGTTCAATCGTGTCGAACAAACGGTCCATCCTTGGCTAAGGAAAGGAGTGGCTCCAAATGGACCTGAAGCGGGCGCAGGTGATTTCTGGGGTGGTGACTCAATCTCGAGCTGAAGGCACCCCCTGGAGCAACCAGTGCCCAAGCAGCCAGAGTTGCCACAATGCCCACAGACCCCAACCAAGGCTGTTCTTTGAGAGGAACCGCAAAAGAAAATCAGGATACAAGCCCATATTTTCCATGTCTTGCGGAAGCATTCGCGATTTTGAGCAACAAGTCCAGCGATCTAAGTCACCGAGGCGGGTCCCCAAATATGCGGTGCACGTGTCTCTGGATGGGCGGAAGTGGACCCACGTGGGGGACTTCAAAGGGAACGCGGACAGTGTCTACAAGTCCAAGGCAGCCTTTCCCTCGCCTAGGCGCCGGGCAAACTCTGCCTCATTTTTCAGAGAAATCGGAGCTGGAAAGGGTTCGACCTCTACACATGTACATGTGTTGAAGCCCTTCATTGTTTTCATAAAGGGTGCTCCCCGCGATGTGGTTTAAGCTGCTACTCTTGCTCAAACTCTGCAACAACCGGGCTTGTCTGCATGTGCACGGGCTGGCGCATAGGCGAAATGCACACTGACACTGAACATCTCAGCAAACCCAAAAACACCATTTCTTTTTTTGGGGGGTGAAGCATTCGGGGTCCTTCAACGCTTTGTGGGGGCCTTCTGCGCATGACCGCGTCTTCCTTGCCATATGCTTAACAAAACACTTGCACGAGCACAAACACAAGCTCTTCAAGCTTCCATGTGGGACCTTCAAGTTCTTCCCACAGGAAGGCACGCTTCGTGCGCATCATCCCGCTGGGATTTGTGGCGCACATGTCAATGCGGGCGGGCGTGCTGGCGTGCATGAGCTTGCCGGAGGACCTGTTGGTTAGTTGTGAGCAGCTGTGTCGGAAGACAAATGGTTTAATCATTGCCAAGCAACCACAACGCAATGACAAGAACTTCAAACGTCTCCTAGTGTTGGCTGTTCTACAGCCAGGCGCTCGTTTTACAATCGATCCCAGACTGGGCAACTGGCCATAAAGAAAGAGAGCAAATGCACCCCCTCACCTTAAAGGAAGCCCTGCATCTTTTGTGCTGGAGTTCTTCTCCCACCGCGATAGCTCGGGGTCTTTGGGTTTGGCGTGTTCCGAGAAGGTTCCACGTAGATTCTGCGACTGTTGGGGATGCTTCTTGGGCATATGACTTATGACTTTTATGACTGTTCCCTTTGAACAAAACGTCCAAAAGAACGTTTTCCTTGTGAAAGGGAAGAGAACAAGTTGGGACGCTTCCTTTGGAATGGTGTTCAGGATGTTGTTCCTAAGAGTTGAACACCAGCCGAAGGCCAACGGGGAGGGCGGCCTTTCCTGGTAACACCTCCCAGACGATTGCCGCAGGACAGCATTGTATGGAATCTCGACTTTGAGGACCAGTCTGCAGACTCGGGATACAAGGGCGATCTCATCGACAAGGTTCCTTGGCAAGCCATCGTCGGTTCGCA